AATGTGTATACAGCGTTTGGTGAATATCGGAAAAACTATATGCGAGTAATTTGTGACATGTAAATCGTCAAAAAGGGAAAATTCTCAGTTCGCTTACGAGCTCATCGTTTGAGCGATCGATTATTCCTTCGCAATTTAGCATCACATTGGATATGGGCTGAACGTGTCCTGGACTGGAATTTTTCCGATCATTCCCCTAGGAGGAGTTCGCAAGAATGTGCTTAAAATGCATGAAAAACACACATTTTTAAATGCCGACTTCCTGGGGGGCGGGGCTAATGGAAGCTATTTACAAATATGTCCGCAAGTCCATGAGGAATGTCTTTGCCAACATTCGTGAACTTCTGAGAAACTATGTGATTACCACACAATAGGGGGCGCTAGTGAGCTGTTTTTTTTTTTAAAGATTACGTTTTTTTTTACATTCTCGAAAAGGTCGTGGGCTCTGACGTGTGTCCCAAATTTTGCAAAAAATTCGTCCATCCGTTCTTGAGTTATAAATTGGTGGTGTTTTTGGCGCCCCCTATAGTCCAAAATGAATATTTGGTGTGCCTATTTCCCAAGACAGACTGAACCTATCCACCAAAATCTGTGATGTTTGGATACATTGTTGATGAGTTATGAGCATTTAATTCTAAGCCCGCCTTTTTGCGAGTACGTTTTGATTAATGGTGGCAATATTTATCGTCTGAACATGCTAATTTTCTACGGTAATGTGTCTGACCCTCCACCGATGCTGTATACTAAGTTTGGTGTTGAAAAACTGAAAACTGAAATGTAAGGTTATGTAATGTTAATATTTCACTGTTTTGAACATTATGCCTAATTAAAATTAAAAAATGTAGGCGGAGCTTAGGGTTCCAAGAGGATTATTTGTAGAGCAGGTCCACCCAAATATGTTTGCAACATTTCAGGTCATTTTGAGTTACGGTGCGACTTTGTAAATGTATTCCGAAATGGGCTTTTGATAGGTGGCGCTAGTGAGCAGGTTGGAATATTTAACCCATTGACTCCAGAATATTGTATTTTTCACCAGTCCTGGCGTCCGTGCATCATTATACAACTTTTGAAGCGTCCTAAAGGCCTCAAAAACAGGAAACGCCAGCAGAAAAATAATAATTCCACCAATAAGTTCCTCGCACTTCGTGCTAGGACGCCGTTGGGTCCTAGCGCTCTGTGCTCGGGCCCTAATGACAAAAGAGCACTGTAAACAGCTCGCTCTGCCCGTTGCTCTCTTTTTTTGTACGCAACCTTCAACTGTGAGCTTCACTTGGTGCATCATGAAATGACAATGTATTTATTCACACTCTCGGCCCTGTCTTTCATACCTCCTCCTACATACACAATGAGCTTCCGAGGAAAATGGTAAGAGGACTTCAGAGAAGATGTGTGCAGTTTTTTTTTTAAATACCTGACAACAATTCAGAATGGTTTAGTCCAAATGTCCAAAGAATCCAGTTGTTAGAACCTACTTAAAAAATACAGTACTTGTGTGGTATTGGTCTAGTAATACACTTTGACTTGATCCTGGGGACATCAAATATTGAAAAACATAATCTCTTAATGTCACAGGACATTGGGTTGGCAGGACCCCCGGCAGAAGAGTAGTCGGCGGGACCCCCAACCGGACAGGACATGGAGTTGGCAGGACCCCCGGCAGGAGAGCAGTCGGCGGGACCCCCAACGGGACAGGACATGGAGTTGGCAGGACCCCCAGCGGAACCTCCAACGGCACTTGAGTGGAGACTCGAGAGTTGACTTGAGAGGGGACTCGATAGGGAACTCGAGAGGAGACTCGAGAGAGGGCTCGAGAGGGGACTCGAAAGGGGACCTGAGAGGGAACTTGAGAGGGGACTCGGGTAGGAACTTGAGTGGGCACTTGAGAGGGAACTCGAGAGTGGGCTCGAGAGGGAACTCGAGAGAGGGAACTCGAGAGGGAACTCGAGAGAGGGCTCGAGAAGGCTCGAGAGGGGACTCGAGAAGAGACTCGAAAGGGGACCTGAGAAGGAACTCGAGAGGGGACTCGAGAGGATACTAGAGAGGGAACTTGAGAGGGAACTCGAGATGGGACCTGAGAGGGGACTTGTGTCGGTCGGTACGCCGACAGGACACGGGGAGCTGGCGTCGGCTGGAGAGCCAACAAGAAACGAGGTGCTGGAGTCGGCCGGTACGCCGACAGGACTCGGGGAGCTGGCGTTGGCCGGTACGCCGACAGGACTCGGGGAGCTGGTGTTGGCCGGTAAGCCAGTCCTGGAGCCGAAACTGTAGTCGGGACCATGGCTACTGGGGCCGGTACTGAACACGGAACCATGGCTGCTGGGGCCGGAACCATGGCTGCTGGGCCCGGTACTGGGGCCCGAACCATGGTTGCTGGGGCCAGGACTGGGGCTGGAACCATGGCTGTGTGGGCCGGTTCTGTAGCCGGAACAATGGCTGCTGGGCACGGAACTGGAACACGGAACCATGGCTGTGTGGGATGGTACTGGAGCCGGAACCATGGCTGCAGGGCCTCGGGCTGGTAGCCTGGACCTGGGTCTCCTTCTCTTAGGAGCCTTTTGGAGGCTCCGTGGACCTCCAAAAGCCAGACGAGACCCATCAAAAGCGTTCTCGAAAGAAGATATGTGGGGAACTCCAATCCAATCCATTTTATTTATATAGCACATTTAAAAACAACAGTGTTGAACAAAGTGCTGTACATCAACAACTTTATAAAAACATAGCATAAATACATAAAAACAGACAGGACATGAAACAAATGTAATACACGAGAACTGTGGCAGGCAGGGGGCTAGCAGGCCGGGAAACGCATGTCTGGAGGAAGTCCATGATCCAGCCAGGTAAGAACTTCACCAACCCTGGTTTCTCTGTTGCCCTCTGGTACGCCTCTGCCAGGGCAGCCCTCTTTTGCTCCGCACTGGTTGCTCCCCTCCATTTACCATAGCTGCAAGCCAGCAAGTAGGTAAATTAATACAACTCCACTTAAAATTGATCATCTGCTGGGTCCATATGTGGTTGGTTCATTCTGTCAGGGTTGGGGAAAAATAGGACCCAAATGCAGATTGAGGAGGGAAGCAGGTTTCAAAGGCGAGCTTTATTTACAAAAGCTGAAGAAACAAGAATCCATGAACAGGTACTGTAGCACGAGGTAGCATCCAAACAAAAGGTGACTGTGACCAACATGAAGGGAGACATGAACGACAAATAATAAACCAACACCGAACACAGGAAGAGACAAGACTAAACACAGGGAGGGGTAATCACAAGACGAGAAACAGCCGGGCAGGGAAGGAGAAACACAAGGGCAGCAGGTGAACACAATCAGACACAATAGGGAAACCAACGACAGGGAGGAAGACAAGACACAGGGAGAACAGAATTGCAAAATAAAACCATGACAACACAGACCAAACTAAAACCGTGACATAAAACTAAGATCGTGACACGTCTTTCAAGTCTGTCATTAGTCTTACTCATTTCATAGCCCTAGGGGTGAACATTTGAACGGGAAAATGTATTGTATTGAAGAGTTAAACAATTTTGATATTGACTGAAGCCATGTGGTCTGACACATGGCAGCCATTTTGTTACAATGGTAGTGTTTTCTCCAAATTGTCACTGGTGTTACCGTCACTGGTGTTACTCTTCTTCCTGGTAACACCAGTGACACCAGTGACGTTCCTATATAAATGAGCTTTTGAGCTTTTGTATAGAATAAAGTGGAGCCTATGTTTTAATTATGTCTATTGTAATCATTATTCTATTTTACTTTCGCCAGGTATGGCAAAATCAACCCAGTCTCACGGCATTTCGTGTTCACCAACACGATTTTTAATTTATTGATTCGTGTTCACCAACACGATTTGCCCCTTTTTTTCGTGTTGCACAGCACGATTTTAAAAGCAATGTATTTCTACTGCCTGCAGCACGTGTTTTTCTCCGGTCGGGTCGAGGAAGACCGGAAGCTGTGTGGTTCATAAAAACATGTTCTTACTTATTATTTTTATTTTGAAATTCAGTTCCTGACGGACGCCAAAAAAGCCCGAGATTATGGAATTAAACCAATAAATAAAAGCAAGGATAATTGTGTGTTATTGGTGAGCAAATAACAGTGTGTTATTTTGAAAAGAATATCGAATTAGAAGGAAAAAAATATTTAAAAATACAGATTTCCGTATTCTGAGGCTCTGAGCCCCATTTATTTTCCTCACAGACGGCAACAAAAGTCCGAAATTATACGATTTCAAATAAAAGCAATAACTGTGGCTTGATATTGAGTAAGAACATGTTTTTATGAACCACACAGCTTCCGGTCTTCCTCGACCCGACCGGAGAAAAACAAGTGCTGCAGGCAGTATAAATACATTGCTTTTAAAATCGTGCTGTGCAACACGAAAAAAAGGGGCAAATCGTGTTGGTGAACACGAATCAATAGATTAAAAATTGTGTTGGTGAACACGAAATGCCGTGAGACTGGGTTGGGCAAAATTGAGTGCAGCTGAAAAGCAAAGATTATACAGTGAAGGATAAAGATAAGGCAAATGTGGCAGTGAATATAAGATATAGTGGGCCTATCATGGAAAAGCTAAGACATTGAGCTGTCTGAGTGGAAAAGTACAGTACTGTGTTAAAGTCCAACTGCTGAGAAGCCTCAGTGGAAATATACTATGTGAATACTGTGTGCAACAAAAACGCGGGGTCAACCAGATTAAGAACAGAGGCATCCTGTTATGTCCAAACTGATAAGCCACAAGGTTGCAGAACTCATTATTCTCACACTAAATCACCCACCAAGCAGGCGCAACAGTTCACAAGGGCAGTCTTGTGAGTGAAACCAGATAAGGAAGTGAGTGAAAGCAAATAAGGAAGTAACAAAAGCACGCCGAAGGCTAACCTAAGAGTTGCTAGGGTAGCAACGGCAGATTACACCACAAGAAAGCAGCGAAGGTGGGGGCTCCGCTAGGAATAGTATATAAGCAGGATGTATTCAGTACTCGAGGCTCTCTTCAACTGGGATCTTACACTGACGAGCTTGTCACGGTGAGAACTCAAGAAGAAGGAGTCCAAGGCGCTTTGTGGTATAGTATCAGATTGATGTATCTTTGTTGAACTGTGTAATAAAGTGCTTATTTGAAGAAACAATCCATTGGAGTGCAAAGTCTAGTTTTGTACAGCTAACAGAGAATAGTGTCTAGTACACAATTCCTTCTCCCTCAGAACTAAGAAACGGTCATCGGCAGATCCGGACAGCGACCCCGCTCTAGCCATATCCAAATGATCTGCGCGGAGGACGGACCTGGTCCGGTAGACTCCAACAGCTTGGTGACCCCGACGTGATGGTCTAGAGCAGGTAATCTGGACACCGATGACCTTCTGAGAGGACACCAAAAAACATTGAGTTTACGGCTTTTACAAGAAACCATCTCACACAATCAAAAACCCGGGTAACTCAGAATCAAGGTAAGCATCTGCCTGTTACAACAAATATATGTGTTTGAAATACCACTACATTTTAGGATTGTGTGAAAATGGCAGAAATAATTGTCTCAGCTAAAAAGTAAAGATAAAACGTAAATAAAATGGTGTGCACTAAATAGATCAACAAGGGCATAAACAAATCTGTGGTGAGAAGCGGGTGAAACCCGTAATTTATGAGGATCCGCCGCGGTCCAAAGGGAAGGTGTAAAACTGGTCGCCGCACCAGTAGCCATAGCACAGTGTAAAACTAGGCGAGGCCCTAGTATCTAAGGGAAGGTGTAAAACTGGTCGCCGTACCAGTAGCCATAGCACAGTGTAAAACTAGGCAAGGCCCTAGTATCTAAGGAAGGTGTAAACCTGGTCGCCGTACCAGTAGCCATAGCACAGTGTAAAACTAGGCGAGGCCCTAGTATCTAAGAAAAGGTAGAAGACTAGCAAAAGACGCTAGCAACCAGATAATCTAATAAAGAAAGATAAGGAAAAGTAGAAAATGGAAGGCGAATTTGCGAGAGAAGAAGCACTAGGCTTCAAAATCCCAGATGTACGTCGCGAGGTTTGGAAAGAATGGGTGGAAGAAGGACAAAAGGAAGTTGAGAAAAAGGATCACAAAAAATGGGAAAAAGGGGTAGCAAAATTGTACCGAAAATTGACAGATAATGGCATACTGACAGCACACAGACAAAGAACTAAGGATACAAAAGGAGAGTTGTTAGGAGGGAAAGATACGAAAGGAATGTTCAAAAAAGCCACCAAAGGGCTAGAAGAAGAGCTCTGTCGTCACAAGAGCATAGACCCAGGGCGATGGTCACTCAAAAAGAAAGCACACCAAAACCAACAAGAAAAACTAGAACAACTAATTAGTACCTCATATGCCATGGTCTCAGCCGCTGGCCGCCTGGAAGAAACAAATAAAACCACCCCGGCCACACAAGCCCCCCTAGTAGCCGCGCCAGTAGCAGCACCGGCAGTAAAAACCCCCGCAGTAGCAGAACCCCCAAAACCAGCAGAACCCATAATCAACCAAGAGAAACACACGGCCGCCACCGCCCCAGCTCTCCTGTACCCCGAGCTCCCTAGAGAACAGCATGAGGTGCCACCCCCGTATAGCCCAGCCAACCCCTTCAGCCAGGCAGTGCTGCACCCTATGAGGGCTGGACCCACCGACGGGTATTACCAAATAGAGGGAAAAGTCTTATTAAACCAAACATCCCCACCTTTGACCAGAGCAGGGGTACAAGGACCGTCCCCAGATAGGAGATACCAAGATACCCCATACCCTAGACAGGAACACAGCAAAGAAAGGGGAGGGGGAGCTAAAACAAGCGAGCATGAAGACACAGATACTCCCCGAAGAAATGAAGGTAGGGCGTTAGCCGAGGCGAATTTAGAGGCCGAGTTAGCACAAAGAAACAGAGAAAGGGCATAGGAACATGACTGCCAAACTAGAATGGGACTCAGACTCAGAACACGCTTTCATAACTCTCAAGCAAGATATGTCTACAGTATGCGCACTGGCCTCAGCAGACTATCAACACCCCTTCTTCTTGGATGTTTCTGAAAAAGAAAACACCGTAAACGGCGTACTTTTCCAGAAAAAGGGGGATCAGAGTCCAGGCAGAAAAATGTTGCTGTATGCTAGCGTAGCACTAGATGCAGCAGAGGCAAAAGAACCCCCATGCATCAGACATGCAGCTGGAGTGGCTAGAGTACTAAGGAAAATCCAACACATAGTGATGAGACACCCACTCACAGTGCTCACAAGCCATAGCATTGTAGCCCTAGTCAACTCAGCGGCCTTCACCATGACATCAGCAAGACAGACCAGGTTAGAAAAGTCTCTGACACAGCCACACATAACCTACACACATGAAGGCACCAACATGGCAGACTACTTACCAGGAGAAGGAGTCCCACACAGGTGTGAGGAAAAAGTAGTACAGGATGTAAAAATACGCCCAGACATGCAGGAAACGCCAGTAACAGGGGCAAGAGACATGTTCACTGACGGATGTTGTTACAGACACCCACAGGACGGCCTAAAAGGGGCCTACGCTGTGGTAGGACGAAGTAATGAGACAGGACTTTTTGAAAACATTGACTGCTCCCCCATCAAAGGAAAAGTGTCAGCTCAACTAGCTGAACTAAAGGGCGTAATCGCCGCTTTGAACCAAGGAATAGATCAAGACATCAATGTGTACACAGACTCAGCATACGTACACGGGGTAGTGCACCACGACCTAAAAAGATGGCTCAGGGCAGGATTCGTAACTAGTACAGGAACACCAGTGAAACACTATCACGAAATCAAGGCGTTAGAGGAGGCTATCATGAAACCCAACAGAGTAGCTGTAATCAAATGCAAAGGACACACCAAAACCACAGGGTACCTAACCGATGGAAACACTGCCGCCGATCTGGCCGCCAAGCAGGCAGCCGGATACGAAGCCACATTCTCACAAATGGTTGTACGGGCTCCCCAAGAAGGAATACTAGAAGCCAGAACAGATGAGGAGTTGGCTAAAGAACAATCTAAAGCTTCCCCGCAAGAACTAACGGCCTGGAGAAACAAAGGGGCAAGAAAGGGAGCAAATGACATTTGGTACTCCCCAGACGGGAGGCCAGTGATCCCACCAGGGTGGGTAAGACCTATGATGAAGGAAGCACACTCAATGGCACACGTAGGAAAGAACCAAATGGTTAGGGCCCTGACCCATTGGTGGCACCCTTACCTACCAGATTTAATAGCTAATCATCTTGAAGAATGCAGTATTTGTGGACGCTACAATGTGAGGGCCACCATCAAACCACATGAGGGAAAGTTTCCTGCAGTAACAATGGCAGGGGAGGAGATAGTCATAGACTATACAGACATGATAGACAGACACAGGGGAAAGAGGTACATACTCATGGTTGTGGATGCCTACACAGGGTGGCCAGAAGCCATCCCCTGTGCAAAAGAAGACAGCCAGTCTGTAATCAACTTCCTGGTACAAACCTACATTCCAAGACACGGGTTCCCCAAAAAGATTCGCAGTGACAATGGAAGCCACTTCAAAAATCACGATTTAGCGGTGGTGGAAGCCTCTCTTGGGCTAACCCACAGATTTGGAGCAGTGTATCATCCACAATCACAGGGAAAGGTTGAGAGAATGAACTTAAATCTAAAACAGAAACTAGCAAAGGCGATGGAAGAAACAGGAATGACATGGTTGGAGGCACTACCTCTCGCCCTATTGGCTATCAGGAGTTCCATTTGCAGGACCACTGGGTTCACTCCATATGAAATGACTCATGGGCACCAGTTTCCAGGCCCAGGGGCGGGAGCCACGGTTTCAAAGGAACTGTATGACAAAGTGGGGCACCAGGCCTACTATGAACAACTAAAATGCCTCGTTGCAGAGTTCGCGGACGAATCCACAGCAGCCAGAGCCAAAGGACACACAGAGGAAGCTGAGGGCAGCAGGGACGCTGAATACGTCCGCCTGAAGACGTCCGCCTGAAGACGATCAAACCCAAGTGGTGTGCTCCAAGGTTCTCTGAACCACTCAAGGTAACCCAGCGAACAGATCATGCAGTCAGAGTAGACGGAAAAGGAGACACGTGGTACCACTGGAGCAGGTGTGTGGAAGCACCAGCACCTACCAGGACCCTCGCTGACACCATCCAGGACCTAGGCCAACTGAACATCAGGCAAACAACCGAAGCCCCCCAACCCCCAAGTGTGGACATCGACTCCACTTCCGAGGAGGAGGAGACAACAGGGGAACCAACGGCAGCCCAGGAGATAACAGCCGGCGAGGAGGCACAACAAGGGACCGCTCCCCCAAAGTAGGCGGTACACCACACGCATCACATACACACACAAGAGACACTCACCTACACTGATACACCAAATAACTTTTACAAGAAAAACAAAGATGAAGAAGAACTCAGGACCTAACCAACACCTCTATTGCTTGGCCTTAACACTGTGTTTTTTCATTATTGTTGGAATAATCATTATCATAGTGGGTGAAAGGGGGAGGCAAATCATTGACCAAAGTAATAATCCAAATTCCCCACAAAATAAAACTACACAAGATACCTTTTCTCCTCCAAAAAACAGCCTAACTAGACACGTCCGCAATGTGGCCGGCACAGTAGATACGACAAATTTCACCCAATGTAACCAGAAAGATGCATTGAGACACATCTCGCTGACACTTTGCCTACCCTCGGACTCAAGTACCACTACCCTCATCCCGTACACCAGTTTGTCAAACGAACTCAACCAAAAAGGAGGGTCGTGGGGAAAAAAATACCAATGGTACATGACGCTAGACTTTTGGTTCGGAAAAGGCGATCCCAATGAAAGATATAGCTATGGTCGAGCGTGGACCGACTTGGTGGGAGAGACAGGGGCGGATTGGAGTTCATCGTCAACAGGAACAGCGAAAAAAGTAAGGCAAAGAGTTCACCTGGCAAAATCCTCATCTGGCCTCGTAGTACAGTTAGACTTAACGGGGGTACCCCAACCCAAGAAAGATGAACCCCCTTGCGCATCCTTTTATCTATGGCCCAAGACATCGCCAAGCCCCCAATTCTCTATATACGTATGCATGTCCAGTCGCATTAAAAGACCACAATCTGACATAGTATCCGTCCAAAAGGGGGTGGTGATCCACTCCACTAAGGAGTGGACAACTGATCAAGAGTTCCAAGCAGCAACTGGAATCTCGGGACACACAGCAAACAGCAACAACTGGTTACTGATGGCACAACAAGCCGCGCTAGACACAGGCGATGACTGCCTCGTTTGTATGGGAGCCAGACCCCTGCTCCACATAATTCCTGCCCCGGTAGAACCAAGGTGTGCCACTGAAATAATGGGGACAGACAACCCTCAACACAATTGCTCTAAATACGACGTTTACTTCCCTTTAGCCAACGCGGAATTAAAAAAGCCCTTATTCTTTGCAAAAGTTCCGAGGTTGAATTACACCTGTTTCCACACCACAATCAGAAACACCGGGGGGTTTAACAAAACTCTCTGCGACCACATAGTGACACCAACTACACCTGGACGTGGTGTAATCCGAGCAGACATATGGTTCTACTGCGGTGGCAACCAACTCCACGATCGCGTCCCATATAATGCCAGTGGTCTATGTGCACTGGTCACTTTGCTTCTACCAGTGAAAACCTACAAATTAAAAGTAGGGGACATAACAAACCTGGCAGAACAATACCCCTATCATACTACGAACAGAGTCGAACGCGAAGCCATGATTGACCCAGATCCAACGTACATAGACGCAATAGGGGTACCACGGGGCGTACCAAGTGACTACAAAATAGCCGATCAAGTAGCGGACGGCTTCACATCCATCATCTGCCCCTAGTGTGTCATCAATAAAAACTCAGACCGCATCAATTACATTAATTATAATATCCAACGCCTAGGAAACCTCACACATGCCGGACTCAAGGCAGTTAGTGAGCAATTGAAAGCCACATCACTCATGGCCTATCAAAACAGAATGGCCCTAGACATGCTCCTAGCAGAAAAAGGCGGAGTATGTGCAATGTTCGGAGAGCAATGCTGCACCTTCATTCCCAACAACACCGCTGCAGATGGCACTCTACAAATAGCACTGGACGGTCTGAAAACCCTCAACTCCCGCATGAAAGATCAATCTGGTATCGACGGTAAATGGGACGAATGGATGTCAGTGTTCGGTAAATACAAAACCCTGGTCACCTCAGTATTGGTATCAATGGCCGTGTTTGCAGCAATTTTGACCTTGTGCGGGTGCTGCTGCATCCCATGTATCCGCTCAATGGTGGACAAAATAATTAGTACCGCCATAGCACCTTCTACTCCCCTGGGCCAACAACTCGCCTTGCTATCCTTAGAAAACAACCCAGACATTGAAGAAGGCGAAGAAGAAGCGGCAGCAATGGACACTTTCCCGACAGCACCACCAGTACCACCGTATGGCAGAATGTGGGAAAGAGAGACAGAAGCCTAAAACAGCTGACATAAATGTACATAAACAATAGCGTTGTTTTGTTGCCCCAATCATTAGAATGGGGCAAAAGGGGGATTGAAGGATAAAGATAAGGCAAATGTGGCAGTGAATATAAGATATAGTGGGCCTATCATGGAAAAGCTAAGACATTGAGCTGTCTGAGTGGAAAAGTACAGTACTGTGTTAAAGTCCAACTGCTGAGAAGCCTCAGTGGAAATATACTATGTGAATACTGTGTGCAAAAAAAACGCGGGGTCAACCAGATTAAGAACAGAGGCATCCTGTTATGTCCAAACTGATAAGCCACAAGGTTGCAGAACTCATTATTCTCACACTAAATCACCCACCAAGCAGGCGCAACAGTTCACAAGGGCAGTCTTGTGAGTGAAACCAGATAAGGAAGTGAGTGAAAGCAAATAAGGAAGTAACAAAAGCGTGCCGAAGGCTAACCTAAGAGTTGCTAGGGTAGCAATGGCAGATTACACCACAAGAAAGCAGCGAAGGTGGGGGCTCCGCTAGGAACAGTATATAAGCAGGATGTATTCAGTACTCGAGGCTCTCTTCAACTGGGATCTTACACTGACGAGCTTGTCACGGTGAGAACTCAAGAAGAAGGAGTCCAAGGCGCTTTGTGGTATAGTATCAGATTGATGTATCTTTGTTGAACTGTGTAATAAAGTGCTTATTTGAAGAAACAATCCATTGGAGTGCAAAGTCTAGTTTTGTACAGCTAACAGAGAATAGTGTCTAGGACACAATTCCTTTTCCCTCAGAACTAAGAAACGGTCATCGGCAGATCCGGACAGCGACCCCGCTCTAGCCATATCCAAACAATCTGCGCGGAGGACGGACCTGGTCCGGTAGACTCCAACAACAGGCAGCAGAGAGATGCAGACCCTACAACTAGGCTAGAGTACTTGGCAAAACGCCGTCAGGGTTATGTCAATGACATCCTGACTCAAAAGAGGAAGAAAGTAGGAGATCTGAGTGAAAGGGGAAGGAGAGCTTAGAGAAAGAAGTGGTGTGTTAACCAAACAAAACACAGACATCTGGTGAGCAGGGTTTCCGCTAGGATTTTTTTCTCGCCGGTCAAATGTCCGGGCAGAATTTATTTTACCGGATAAATTTGAAACTTACCGGTCATATTTCAATAATAATAATAATAATAATAAGAGTTATGTAGCAGAGTTTCCGTTAGCAGGTAATTACCGGACTATGAGCAGATATGCTGATGTTTAAAACTCAGTTCACAGGGCTCATTTTTATATTGCTTCAGTCTATAATCGTAACAGATCGAAAAAATTCAGATTCATTTTTCAATAAATGATTCCACAAACAACATAATTATTACATTCAAACAAACTACTTGTAGTAGATGAAGTACATTATTCAAAAGTTTACATTAACTTTGAATAATAACCAGTGCTTGAATTGGAATGAAAAAGGTGCCAGTACTCTAAAATCAGCAACTTTTTCAAGTCAATTTTATATATACAGCCCACAAACAAGAATTTGGCTACTATAATGCTGGTGGGTTTGTCTCTTTACTATTGTATATTTTTAGAAAGGTTCACTGTACTTAACATTTTTTATGATAGGCAGCGGATATGGCTAAAGCTCAGTAAGGTCAATATTAACTGAAAATATAGCAATCAAAGTCTAGATCTTCTGCTGAAGACACATGAAGCAGAGACCTTTCAGGTGAGAGCCCCTCTGGTGGTATTCAACATTAATGACAAGGAAACAAAGCTCTGGTCAGAAGCATTTTTTATAAAAAGTAAGTATTTCTGTACATTTTGAATGCAATCTAACTTTCCAACTCAGAAAACGAAAAACGAAAAAGTGCCAAAAGTCTTCTCACATGGCTGAGCTGCTTTGCAATATACTTCACCACTGAAGAATACAAATATGTATAAAGTAAACTATGATGCAATCTAACTTTCCAACTCAGAAAAATGATAAAGAGCATGAACAAAGAACATGTAAAAACAAATGCAAAATTTGCACAATCTAAAATGAGAAACTGTAACTGCAAGTAACAAAGTCTGAGCCATGGTAAAGAGTTACATTGAACACCAAGCTGATCAGATAACTCCCTGGTTGGTCTGAAGTCCTTCTATCTCCAGGATCTGTACAAATCGGCACATTATGCCAAAAGTCTTCTCACTGGGTGAGCTGCTTTGCAATATACTTCACATTGTTAGAAAAGGCTCCAGAAGGCCTTGGGGACATCAGTATCAGGGGCTGGAGCTGGACAGGCTCTTTCATCAGCACTTCTCCTTCCCTTTGCCAGCCAGGACCTCACATACTGTTCCGGATTGAACTGTCCTAGTGATGGTCCATTACATTTAATGAAAACCAGGCTGGACAGTCGGCTGACAGAGAGAGCATTCCTTTTTGCAGTAAGGATATCGTTCATGCAGCTGAATGCCCGCTCACACTCACTAGTGGAGACAGCGATGGTTCGGACTGCTTTCAGTAGAGGCTCCATGGCAGCAGGTGTACGGGATGCCCTGGTTTCCTTGTATTCGCGAAAGCCCTGAACAGTCTCTCTTCTGTCCACTTTCAGCACTTCGCACAAACGTAGCACCTCTACGTCCCCATACTGTACGTCTAACTCCTCTTCAGGCCAACTTCCAGGATGGATAACTTTCATGTCCTGGATTAGCTGATTGTCCCGGGCCTCCCCGCCATGTAATGGGATTTCTCTTGTGCTGACATGAGAGGAGGTTGTGGAAGTCATTCTGTGTCTCAGATTCTCTACCATACTGCGGAAAAACTGACCTGCATGAATCTGTACAAGCCTGCCATTCTCACGCAGGGCAACACCCTTGAAGGACTTCTCAGCTAGAGCTGTATGAACTGTAGTCATGTGTGGGCCAGGCATGGTGACCATGGATTCAAAAACTCGTATTTCTCGAGTTAAGAGCCTATCTGCTGTAGGCAGTGTCATCTCTCTTTTTTGGAGTTGCCGAGAGAGGTCGCTGAGCTCTGTGAGCGCATCGTACATCAGTCCCAGATTGCTGACAAACGTTGCAGATGTGAGCACATCATCCAGGCCCTTGTACTTTGCTCTGTCTCTGGAATCCCTGCTCGTGTCGTTTGCAGCATTTGTGAAGTGATCATGAAGCACTCGGTAGTTTTCCCAGACTGCTCTGACGCTCCTTTCACTTGAAGCCACCCAGCGGATGGACAAAACACGCCCTATCACCAGGAGACGCTGTCCGACTGCTTGCGCACACTGCGCTAACTGCCTCTGATTTTTGGGGGAGGCATGGAACAAGGAATAGAGTTTGTCAAAAAAGATCTGGAAATGATTGAGCCCTGAGACCTCCTTGACCACATCCCCAACTGCCAGCTCTAGACGATGATTGGAGCAGTGCCACACAAACAGGCTTGTGAATTTACTACACAACTGGGTAGAAATGCCTGTTCTCTTCCCTAGCATGACTGAAGCCCCATCACATGCAAAAGAAACAAAACACTGACCTAAAAAGTCCTCGTTAAAATCTCTTCCAAGACACTCCATTAACGCCTTTGTGATGTCATCAGCCGTTGTTCCATCCAACTCGATCAGCTCCCAAAAAAACGTTTCGGGCTCAGCATCAGCTAATGCTGAGCGTAGACACACAACAAGCACCGTTTTACCACTAATAGTGGTAGATTCATCGACCAAAACACAGAGTTTTCTTTGGTTTTCTGTAATGTCTTTTGCCATTTTTTTCTTCAGCTCATGAGCTATGTGGTCGATGATTTCGCCACAGGTTTTATTGGAGTGCAAAACCCTGCCCACGTTCAGCCCATTCAGTTTCTGTACATTCAAATCAATTGGCATGTCTGTGAATGGCCGGCTATGTTTGCCAATTTTATATGCCGTTCGAAAAACTCTGATAGTGGTGTCTAATTCAGATGTATGCATAGACTGCACTTGATGTTGAATAGTTTCACGTGAAGCAGATGTAAGGATGTCAGCAGCTTTTATATGGGCTTGTGATTCTTTATGTTCTTTGATTTTTTTTCTCAGGCTAGCTTGTTGTTTGCCCTTGTCAACACCGAAATGAGACACTCACCCCATTCAGTTGACAGTTTCAGTCCTTGTCCAGTGTGTATTCCCAAAGATTTGACATCTCTGCATATCCGACATCCTAGCTTCTTATCTTTAAGAAGGAGCCATGCATTGGTCTTGCAAAAATATTGCACCTGGTCCGTTGTCCAGCAGTCAGGTGCATCGCTTTGCCCGGTGTTGGTGGTGGCAGTTGCGCCAGCAGCAGCTAACGTTAGAGGCTCTGGAGGAGGCGGAGGAGCTAGTGCTAATGCACTAGAACTTGGAGCAGGAGGATCAACCAAAGAAAGCTCCCCATCAGACACAATTTCCAACACAGGCACAGCATTCTCTGTATTTGAAGTTTCTTCCGGCGACAACCGCTGTCTTTTTGCACTTTTATTAATCCACGGTAACATTTTAGAAATGCTAATTTGTGACGTGACTTGCTTTCCTTCTCTCGGGGGCGTGCCTGCTCTGTTCTATCACTCTACATAGCCACCCACTGGGTGGGAGTTGCACTGCATAAACACAACACACGTGCATCTAGGTATGTAAATTGTAAAGCATTAAAACATGGTTTTACTAACAGTTTTCAGTATGTTGTTACTTCGGCATTATTATTATTATTATTTTGAAACGTGTATTACTATTAAATCACGGTCAAATAGGTTAATTTTGACATAGTCGTTTCCACCACAGTATTTACATGGAGAAGATAAGCCCCGCCCCCTCTCCAGCACGTTCTGTTTGAATGACAGGAGTAAACAGCTGACAGCCGCTGTGAAACTCCAGCTGTTAGAGCGATGAGAATGTCCGTTCGGCACCTCATGACGCATCTACTGAGTACCGGGCGGCTGTATATATATATATGGATGTATAATAAGAACGGCGGGAGAGTGTTGAGTACTGGCACGGTGCATGAGTACCGGAGTACCGCCAGCATGCCGGTACTGAGCAAGAAGTGCCGGTACTCCATGGGTCAGAACCAGAAGTGCCGGTACTGCGTACCGGTAAGTACCGGCCCAATTCCAGCACTGATAATAACACGGCAGAAACGGAGCCTCTCTTTTCCCCTCTCTCTCCTGACAGCCCGTCAGTTTCTCATGTAGCTCGCTAAACAGTGGGCGGGGCTTCAGGTGATTATGCAGAACTGCGTGTCTCTGTCAGACTCAGCAGCTGATCTGATCTCTCTCTCGCGTCCGGTTATACTTCACTCGCGTTTATGTCCATGTTGATCAGATCCAGCTCTCCTGATCGGCCTTTATAGAGAGCCCCGATCAAACTATCAAGAGTGAATATTGGCCGTTTATGATCGGTGGCCGATCGATCGGAGCATCCCTAATTATTACCAGACATTTTGACCGGCAGGTTTTGAATTTACCGGTTTTGAATGAATTTTACCAGCTAAAAACCGGTAATTACCGGCTAACGGAAACCCTGCTGGTGAGAACAGTGCAGGCAGTCTTGCCCCCCCAATCTTCACCAGAAAGATCACCTCCCCTCATCCCAAGGTATACCCGAAACAACACACAATTTAACAGGAATATAAAGGTTTATATATATATATATATATATATATATATATATATATATACACACACCATTTTGGAAAACCCAGTAAAATGTGAAAATTTAATTTAATTTCACTGAGAGAT